GAGTAACCAAGCTCCAATTGCTCTGACAATATTTCTGTGCAACACTTGTGGATGTACTGCATTGAAACATGTATTAGGTTCATTTTCCTGTCCCAAATCCCAAGGAGTTTTGCACTTTTCCAAAATGAGTACACAAAATTGCACCCTGACATTAAAATGAGCATTCACTCTAAATTGAGAAGCAGTGTCTCTCAGGATTCATCTCTACTGGCCTCCATCATTAAATTAGTAGTGTCACTTATTTAAATGTTGCTCATATTTCAGATATTAGGATGGGAAATCACAAATCCTGAGCTGCCAGCTGCCCGTGCTGCCTCATCTCTGTGTCTATCATGCTATGTATATAATGTGTATAATTAGGTTTGGGGCTTTTTTTAATCTGATGGTAGTTCCTGTGTTCTCCAGATGCACTCGGCCTCCGTTCTGGGTTTCTATGTATGGATATATATATGTGTGTAGACAAGTAACATGTTTACAGCACACTTTGCTGCTTGACTCAGCCTAGCTTCCAGCCAGCCAAATTTCAGAGAAATTGGAAATTTTGGAGACATTGGAACTTCATGTAAATGCAGTGGACATGGGCATTAAGTTGAATGGCTGCCTCTGTATCAAACCTCAGCTCCTCATTCCCACTCTGAGCAGCATCCTGCCCCAGCCAGCAAACGTCCCCGTGTCCAGGTGTGTGCAAACCATCACCTGCCCAGGCTGGAGAGGTGTTTACCTGACCTACTGTGGCAGTGATGTGGCTGCTCCTGATGCTGTGCCTCTCCCTGGCATCAATTATACTCCTTGGTAGAACTGCAATTCCCACAAGCACTCCAGCTCTGAGCATCAGAAGTTGAAACACACATCCTGCTGTTGCAATTTTCCTTATGTCTCTTGCAGCCCTGAAGGACCCAGTGAGATTTTCTATCTTTGAAACCCCTCCCTATTCCTGAATTTCTACATTGTTCCTAATGTTCTTTAGACAAGGAGGGACAAAGTGGGACCTTGGCTGATGAATAAATCATCTCGCTGTGCCCATCCAGAGATAGCCTCAGAGCACAGCAGAACTTAAGGGTATATTTGACCTCTACAGTGTGGTTAAAAATATCTAAGATGATTTCAAGCAATCTCGTGTGTTCATGCAGTATTCCTGGCATGGTACTTGGCCAGGACCTAGGTGGCTTTGAGAAGGACTGGCTCTGAGAGGCATCAGTGCTGCTGCAGTCGCCACTGCGTGTTGTCGCCACTCAGGGCAGCTCACGTGTCACCCTGTGGGGCCACATCTCTGGGTGTGCTGCCCTTGCTCACACGTGGCGTGGGCACAAAGCTCAGTGTTGATCACTCGTGACCTGCTGTCTTACTCCAGCTCTTATTGAGGCCATGAGGCTGTGACCTCTGGGCTTTTTTGAAGCATAGAAAGATGCAGGCACGAGCAAAATCCTCCAGAATTTTTTAACAGCTCTGAAACTGCAGCTCCATAATCTTTGTCAAATGTCTTTGACTACAGTCAGGTGACAGGAGAGTTAGGCTGCCTGGCCAGGATTCCTAAAAGTGTTTGCAGAGGGGCTATACAACCTGAGTTCTCAGTGAAGCATTGAAGTTTGTATCATTCAGTGGTTTGTCCAGGCTATAAAAGCTTATATGTATGCCCTCACAGCTGGGCTGATTCTCAGCATAGGTGAAGGTTTCAGATCTGAGAGTTTATTACCACTAAAAAAGGAGCAATCTCAGCCCTCCTTACACTTTTATCACTTAGTGTTAGCAGCAGCACTTGTTGGACTCTGATACCACTGCTTAATCCAACAGAAAATATCCACCAAAAAACCCTATCCCACCCCATGTCCAAAACTTCCACCCTAACCTGGGGATTCTTTTTGCTGCCAGTAATCTGAACCATCACAGAAGCTGTTCAGCATCACAGGGCGTTGAAAGAGAGGTACAGGGCTGCACAGCAAGAGGGAGAAAGAGAAAGGTAGATAAAGAAAAGTGAAAGGAAGGGCCTGGGATCTCCACTTCCAGGAGCAGTGAGGTCTGAAGGACAGACTTGGAGTGCTTTCCCATGGAATCATTTCCCATGCTTCTGATGCTGTGCCTTGCAGAAGTAGTTCACATTGCCATGTTTCATTTCCCTGTATTTTTAATATAATTTACTCCTGCCCCTGGCTTTCTTTTTGGGTTTTTTTGACATTTCTAGGAAGAAATCCTTCCCTATGAGGTTGGTGAAGCCCTGGCACAGGTTACCCAGAGAAGCTGTGGCTGCCTCTGGATCCCTGGAAGTGTTCAAGGCCAGGTTGGATGGAGCTTGGAGCAACCTGGGCTAGTGGAAGGTGTCCCTGCCCAGGGCAGGGGTTGGTATACAATGGACTTGAAGGTTCTTTCCAACCCAATCCATTCCATGATTCTGTGATTTCAATGGGAAAAAACAGCAGGCAGAGAAAGTCAGTGAAAAGCAGGTTCTAAGAATGTATTTCTCTTTGCCAGGGAGGAAGCCAGCTCATAGTAGTGTCTCTAGTTGGCTGTTAGATACATAATGCATGTACAGGAGTCTTAAGAATATGGACAAGCAAATTCCCAAAGAGTTTACAGTTTTTCTGTTGAACTGTGAGATAAATAGCTTGCTTCTCAAAGATGTATGTCTGTATGAGTATATAAATACATTGTTTCACAGAAGCCAGATTGTGGCCTCTTTTGCACTGCTATTACCAGAACAGCTTTTCTGTATCGTTCCACAAATGGCATCCAAAATACTTTGTGGTATTTTCTTCCTTCATATAGTTCTTTTTAGATCAATGCATGTATATGCATACACACATACCCCTGCATGTCTGTGATTTATCTACAAGTGACAGATGAGGATTGCCAAAGGTATTGCTAAAATAATGTGTGATTTCTGATTGGAGAAATTCTTTAGGATGACAAATCCATGGATGCAAGATCAGGCTCATACCAACCATGTGTACAGCCATGGAAACAAAATTGTCATAAAAATAAATGCCACAGTCGTGTTTCCTTCTGGGTTTGTCATGACAGCTGCAGAGGAGGGATTTTCCTTTAAATGCTTTATCAAGATTCAGAACTGGCCTTTGCTTACTCTTTGCTTCCAGATTAAATAGGGAACGGATGCTTTACCCCTACACAGATCAAGTCCCTGGGCTTGAAAAGCCTCCTTTAAATTAGAATTTTAACAGTGATTGTCAGATCATTCTTCTGAGCATTTGACCATGCTATAATTATTACTTGGAAATTTCCAAATTTTCTGTCACATTATCCTGCAGATACACATCAGAAAATGCTGCCCAGATGGTTCTGCCATGCAGCTAATATCTCTCCTTGTTAGGTACCACACACTGCCTGGCCTGCACACAGCAAGAAATACAAGCTTGTGTGTTGAAAATGCTGCAGGAGCCAAATTCACTCTGCAGGAGCTCATTCCAGTGCTGAGTACAAAACATGTACTTTTACTATTTGTGAATGTTACACATGTTATTCAGGTTAGACTATGGCTTATCAGTATTAACTGGGGAAGTGATTCCAGAGATGAAGCTGCAAAAACACATCAAGGAACATCTCCCACAGTCTAATCCTTTTTATTGCCATTTATTTTTATTAAAAGTTCTTTCAGTTAGAAGTATTGAAAGGGTAAGGACTTTTAAAACATTTGAGAAATTTTCTGGGTTTGATTTATGCAGCTCAGTATTAGCAAATGTTCAAAAATGTTTCTGTATAATTTTATTGGAAAATATAATCTGTAATGGGTCCACATTAAAGCATTTTTAAAAGAAATTCCTCTAATATTTCTTTGGTTTCTCTCCAGAGAGATCTAAGAAACTCCAAGGACCAGTTTCTCTTTCTCCACATTTCAAACCATGAAAAAAATCTGGTTTGAAATAATGTATGTTACAGATGCTGTAACATACCATCCCTCGGAGGTACCAGAGCTGGTTTTGAGCATCCTTGAAATCTTGGAAGAATCCTGTAGTCTGTTGGGGCATGGACTTTCTGACCATTTGTTCTGTTAAATTCCATGCCCTGAAGGGTGCAGTGGAAGCACAGATTCCCCTTGGAATGGCTGCTCACAGCCCAGCTGCTGGGAGTGGAGGGGGTTTAGGGGAGAAACCTCTTGGCACCAGGGTGGTTGTGGTCTCAGCCATGGTGTCTGCAGGTATTTTGGACAGTCTTTAAGGTCCCTTTCTACCCAAGCCTTTCTGTGATCCTGTTCCAGCACAGTTCTGCTCTGGGAGAGCAGGGTTGCACCATTAATGCTATGAATGTTTTAGGTAAGGTTTATTATTTATTAATTAGTTCTGTAATTTTCATGTCATCCAGTAATTTTCCCCAGCTCGGTGTAAGCTATTTGCATTCTTCAGATCCCCCAATCTGTGAAAGTGCAAAATGAAAACTACACCATGGGTAATGATTTTTGTAGTCACCAAGTTGTATATTAATTGTATTTTTTCACCAAGAAACATAGTTATACATTTTAAGACCTTTCTCAATTTTACATGTTTTTACCACAACTATTTCTGATGTTTCTGCTCCTGACATTTCCAACAAAAGCTAACAGAACATGTAGTTCATTGCAATACCTTTTTGGGTTTGGGTTTGTGGGTTTTTTTTTTTAGTTTTAGGGTATTCAGAGCAACTGTGGTTGCTGTTGTATTGAGGAGGAAGGGATATCTTATGACAGGAACCCAGGAGGGAGAAGTGAGCCCAAGATGTCTCTGAACTTTGGGCTTACACTTTCTGGATAATTTTTAAAAAGCAGATCAATTCCTGAGCTATATAAACCAGGCAGCACCATGCAGATGACTGGTTTTGAGGGAGAATGAGGAGTTTAGTTCACTGGTGGACATCATACTCCTTATTTTCTGAAATTAATTTATTTGGGAATGGATGTGAAGAGATGTTTAGACTAAGACAGACAGCATGATTTCTGGGTTAGGCCATTGAATTCCTGGGGACCTAGATGCACTCTATCAATTGTGTCTGCAGAGAAGATAAGAGGCTGCACTTACGTTTGACAGTGCTGCGTGACTCCTGGAAGCCAGCTGACTCTGAACCCCAGCCCAGGGCTTCACACTCCTGCTCCTCTCCTTGGCCATGCCTGGCACTGGTGCTTGCAGCCCCTCTGCTCCGCTCTGCCAGCCAGCACATCCTCCAGAGCCCCACACTGCGCTTGCGCCCGTCCTCCAGCGTTTGGTACACCCAGTTGGGGGTGAAGGCAGCCGCGTTGTTAAGGATGAGTGAGACCAGAGCTACCAACACAGCTGTGGCTACCAGTTTCTGGACAGTCATATCTGACTGTCAGCTTGCTGCCAGACTCTAATTGCAGACAACACGAGGTCCCAGTCAGCTGCAGCACATTGAAATCGGGCTGGGAACAGGCGGCTGCGCTGGGTGTTACAGGGCGCTAGAGGACATCACCGTTCATTCTTGAAGTCAATTCCTGAGGGATTTCTGACCGAGGAAATGAGAATTTTGTGAGGTAGATAGGAGAATTCCATAAAATAAAAACACAAAGAAGCTTTGTTGTCCTTCCCAGCGTTGACTTATCCGCCTTCTTGCACTTTGATAAGTAATGCCAGTCTTGTGGTGAACTGGATGATAGGGAGGTCCATTCCGTGTTGGATGGAGTGAATCCAAACAGAATCCAGTCTCAGAGCAGGAGAGCCTGAGCTGAGGTGGGGCAGAGGTGGGACAGGATGCTCCCTGTAGCCTGCCGAGCGCTGGGTCCTCCAAGCCAACCAGTGCTGCTCCAAAAGCCTAGGTTTGGGTGCAAACTTCAGAATATCCTGCAAACGGTGACAGATATCATCCTCGCTAAGCCAAGCCAGAGGGGAATGCGGTCACCCCAAAGGTGATCTACAAATCTGGAGTATCTCGAGGAGGTTGCTCTGCCCTGTTCCTCTCCGAAGAGCCGAGCTGTGAGTGCCGGGACGAGAACAGCCACTGCGGTGAGGAAAAGGCCCCCCCCACCTCCCCACCAAGAGGAAATGGCTGTTTTTGTGGCTCGTTTTGGTGAGCCTCAGGGCGTAGTCGACTGCAAAAAAAAAAAAAAAAAAAAAAAAAAAAAAAAAGAGCCACTGCCACGGCAGTCAAACATTAACAGGATGCGTTTCCTGAAAGGAAAAAACTATGGAGACTTCTAAAGTTGTTCCTCCTCCCCTCGGAGGGCCCCCTCCCCGCCTCACGCCTACTCCCTCCCCTCGCCGCTGCCCCCAGCGGGGCTGCCGGGAGCTGCAGCGCCTCGGGGAGCTTGGGGAGCACAGCAGAGCTCCTAAGGGAAAAGGAGAGAAGGAAATCCCAGGTTCAGCCCTCGGGCCATCAGCTCTGTGGAAGCGGATCGAGGAGAGGGATTTTGAAATACCTTTTACTAGAAGCAAAACATGATTGGGGTTCGCTGCTGCACAGCGCGACGGAAGCTCTGCGGGGCTGCGCTGATGTCCGCGTCCTCTCTGCACCCTAGGAGGGACCGTGGCAGATAAATAATTATAAAATCTCGAGACTCTCAACCCGGTAACAACCCAATCTAGGGATGTCTGCAAAGGCAGAGGGCAAGTGTTGGGGCGTGAGTGGGGTTGAGAGTCAGCGCATGGCGAGCCCAAGGCCCGGCGTGCTGGGCGCCGTGAGGGCTTCGCAGAGCCTCGAGGGAGGCTGCCGGCCCCGCTCGGCGCCCAGGCCGTGCAGGCCCTGCTGCCGTGTGGGATCGCCCAGCTCACAGCCCGCTACGGACTGCACTGCCACAGGGCGGGTGCTTCTCTGATAAACCCGTTAGCGAGAGTTCTGTGGGTATTCCAAACTGTTCTTGAACTTGGATGTTTCCAGAGCGGTCTTGCCCAGACTGGCGCTCCATACGGCTCTTTGCTGTTCCCATCGGCTGCCTCAGCAGCACCGGGAGGAGGACGGAGATTCTGGTGGGCACTGCCCTGCAGCCGGGTGGTACTGCCTGGGGTTGTGCCGCTCCTGAGCTGAGCCTGGCACAGTGTTCAGGCTGCACAAACTCCGCACGAGTGTAGCATTGCCTCGTACACACTGCACTGAAGGCACCGCATCCGCTCAGCTCTGAGACCTGGCACGGACCTGCCTTGCCGGGCACCGCCACACCTGAGGGGCTGGCACAGGATTTCACATCAGTAATCAGTACATTAGATTACAAACTGATTTAATTTTATAGTGGCTCCATCTTACCAAGACAAGAGGCTTTGCCCCTAACCAACTGATCTGCCCTGACCCAATACACAGAAAGAAACTGGTCTGAAATTTTTTGCAAGGCAACATTTTCTTTTCAAGACTTGTTGGTGAGAGAAGGGGGGGGAAATTCCAATAAAGCTGATATGCTCCTATAAATAGTTTTCAGGTACTGAAGTTGAATGTACTAACCTGGCTATGAACTCAGCCCTCCTCTGTGTGCTCTGATAGTTTTTAATCTTTTAAACAAATTAAATACTTTGAGCATCTTCATCCCTTGAGAGCACTGTAGCATCTTTGGTTTCTCTTTTTCCCTGTGATTGATCATGTTTCTGTACATTTCTGGTTTTAGAACTTCCAGTATAAGCACACCAGTGTTCGCCATTCTTCAAATAAATTTCCTACCAGCAATGACTGTTTTTGCATATTTTAAACCCCTTGGATTACTTGTTATTATTATTCTGTGTTTATTTTGAGCCAGGCATTCAGCAGCAAGGCAGATGATGTTTACATGCAGATAATGCCAGGAGAGATTTACCTTTAGGGAGATGTCACACACCTGCTTCTGCCTCCCCCCATTTGATTTTTGTGATTTCATGACGTCCGAGTATGTATTTTCAGGGGGGGTCCAAGCTTCCTTCTCATGTAACAATAAAAACAATAGCAATTATATTTTACAAAGGCTGAACAAATCAGTCTAGTCATAGAATCATAAAGGTTGGAAAAGATCAAGTCCAACCACAAACCCATACCCCCAAATGCTACATCCACACAGCTTTTAAATCATTCCAGGCATGGTGACTCCACCACTGCCCTGGGCAGCTGTGCCAGTGCCCAACTACTCTTTCCATGAAGAAATATTCCCTAAAATCCAATTTAAATAGTATGGGAATCCTGATCCTTAATAAAAAATTGCCTTAGTGAATGCTTCATTGCTGGCAAACAGGCAGCAGGATGTGCATTTTGCAGCACTCACAGCATTCTGAGGGGCACAGGGGTTTGTGTCATACAACCCACATGGAGCAATTCTTGGTGTTGGTTTGATGAGGGTAAGCTTGGAACAAAGCTGTGTATTCAGTGGGATATTATAGATCCATTCTGTGAAGCTGCTTTATCAAAATTATATGTTTCATCCAGGGAAGAGTTTTTAGGAGTAGCCTCATCAGCTTTCAGTGTTTGGATCATACATGAAAAATGCCTGACTTTTCTTAGAGTAGCTCATATAATATCATTAACACTATCAAGAGTCTCATTGAACTGTTACAACTTTTCATGTATTACTTGAGTTTCTTGATGTCTTTTAGCCCCATGGAAGGTTATAACCAGGATCCCATAAAGGCATTTTATTTTAAAAGCATCAAACCTAATTTAGCTACATCAGCTAAAACCTCATTTTCTCAAGACCTTAGAGTTTTCCAGTCTAGTGGAAGACATCCCTGCCCATGGCAGGGGTTTGGAAAAAGATGGTTTTTAATGTCCCTTCCTATCCACACTATTCTGTGGTTCTGTGATGATCTAGAATATAACATTATAGGATGCAATAATAATTTGTTCTATATAATGTGTATGTTATAGGGTCCAGTTCAACAAAGTGAGACCCAAATTGAAAAGAGATTTTTTTTTTTTATCCTGATCAATGTTCATATTCCAAATATAGCCCATTAAATAGAGGGAGAAAAGGTTTTTCAGTGAGATGCTTCAGACATAAAAATCCCCAGCCCTTCTAAATAATATTCTATTTTTTTCTTTAAACTTCAGTGCTTTAGGCAATGAAAAATATATGGGAACAGAGGGTGAGGACTGTGGATGCTATAAACACAGTTCCACAGAAAAACAGATGTGAGAGGTCAGATACAAAGCAAGGAAACTTTCATCAAATATGTGGTAAGGTTTGTGTCCACTCGTAAGAGGCATCAGCGTTTGCTTCCCCAGTGCCTGGTGCTGTGGCTGCGGCCTGGAGCCGGGAGCCCAGGCTGCAGCAGCGCCTCCCTCCCTGCTGGGAGCCTGGGGCTGCCTCCATGGCTCTGCTCCCACTGCTGCTGTGCCTGGGCTTCATTACATTTCTAGCTTCAGCTGATCAAGTACAGATGTGAGAGGCTTTCCAGGGGGGTGAAAAGAGGAGGAGAGGAAGAACTGGAAATTCCTGGAGTCACAGTTGGGGGCAGGGAAAAATTTTACTTGGCATTTTTATATGGACAGCAGGGCCAGGCCTGGAAAGTAGAGTTTCTGCCTTTTAGGGATGCATGGAGAGATTCAGCTTTCTTCCTACACTGGCAGCTGTTGGGAGATAAACTGTGGTTTTCCCTGGGATTCAAGTGAACCTGTTCTGCACCTCCTGTTTTTTGTTCCTTCACCAGACCCACATCCATCTGCCCACATTTCTGAGGGGCAGCAAAGCTTGCCCTGGTGCTGGAGGTGTGTGCCTGCCAGGGAGGTTGTGCATCTCGTGGCTGAGGTTGGTGTTTGTGAAATGAAGAGAGAAATGGAAGTGGATTGTGGGTGCTGCCAGGATCCCCTCCCCTTTCCTCTCCATGTACCTCATCTGAGCACTGTCCCTCTTGTGAAGGATGTGTCTACTGGAAAGAACCAATGTCTGCTGCAGGTCCATGGGGACCATGGCTGCTGTTCTTGCCTGTGAGCTGCTAAGCAAACCGAGTGGGGTGTGGGAACTGCTCTGGGCAGAGCAAGGCTGGATTCCTTCACTCCTTCAGGTGTTTTGGCAGAGTGGAAGCTGGAGAAGGAATGCTCAGAGGGAGTCAGTGGTCTCACCTGCTGTGGGTTCTTGTGCTGTTGAGCTGCTCTGATCATGTCTCTCAGAATCTTAGAATCATGGAATGGTTTGAGTTGAAAAAGACCTTAATGACCATCCAGCACCAACCCTCTGCCATGGGCAGGGACACCTTTCTTTGCTGTCCCTCTCATCTCTTGCTGTGGTCTCTGTGCTGGGTGAGTCCATGCAAGATGTGCTCTGCTGTGAACAGTCCCAAATTCAGTGTCTTTGGTGCAGTTTGAGCCTGGTGTGCTTACCCCTGCCCAGTCAGGGTGGGAGAAGGCAGTGTCTGCTGGAATAAAACCAACTGCAGAGCACATTGACTGCAGATGTTTCTCCCTCTGTTGCTGCCAGCAGCATATCCTTGGCTCAAGACTCTCAGGTTCATTTGGCAAATGGTTTGGAGTATAGGAGAAAGAGGGGGGGATGGCAGAACTCAAGCTCCTCAGGGCAGAGGTACCTGGGTGCCTGCGTGGCCCACAGGCAGGTGTGTGGGGCAAGAGCTCCCAAAGAGGAGTCCTAGGGACAGGAGCTCCTGCTGAATTTTGACATTGGCAGGAGATGTTGCCATCCAGGAAAGCATAAAACAGCTGAGAGATGATAAGCAACATCTCCTAAATCCTGCTGTGACTCTCTGCACGCTGTTATCTTCTAACTTTGTACTTTAAAATACACTGTGTAGTCTGTTTCCTCTCAAAAGTTTCCACTCCCAGTACTCTAAATAAGAATCTCATCCGCTTGCCTATTTGAGCCCATGAACTCTAATCTTCCTGCATGGAGGGAGTTGAGAGCTGTCAGAGCTCTGAAAAAGAAAGACTTTGATTTCCTTTCAGAAAGTCACCGTTAGTCAGCTTGACAAAGCATTGTGTCAATGTTGTTTAAAGGTGTTTTTCCGACTTTTCCCAATTCCAGATAGAGATAGTGTCTGGAATAAAAGAGAAAACTGTTCCAACTTTTCAGAAATTAGGAATGTTACATCTGATGACACAAGGCAGCATTTTTGTATTGAGTGGTATTGGGTTCTGTCAGGCTCTTCCAGGTCTGAAATGACCATGCTTTATTTCAATATTCCTTTTGGCTCCTTGGCTGGGGAGCTTGGACATGTGGGAGAAGAGCATGAGGAGGCCATGCTTGACTAGCACTCAGTTGTAAGAAAGGTGGCACTCAGATATGCATTTTTGCCTTTCTAAACCAGAAACACTTTTGATCTTTCTGAAATTTGTCCCTGATTTAACATTTTCATTCCTTTTTTATTTTTTCCATACCGTTTGTCTCAGTGAAGTCTGTACTACTTATATTGATTAATACCCAAAACCTTCAAATGAGTTGCACTGCAAGTAAAAGATGCTCTAATTCTTAACTAAATTATGCAAAGAATTTTTCCTGTGCCTTTTCTTAGTGTATGAGCACGTCATGGCTCACCTGTTCCACTGCTTCCCAGTTAGTCACTTTCTCCTGTGTATGCAGGGCTTTCTCACAGCCACTGGAAACAGAAAAACATTTTAATCATAGGAAAACTGGAAGGGAATTTGTTGGCAGGTCATAAAGTGTCATTCTATTCTATTACTTTCTTCTTTTATCCTTGCTTTTAGAATTTAGATCTTTACTTTGTGCTGTGTTGGTGCCTGAGAACTGCACAGAAATGTACCACTGCTGAGGGTGACATTGAAAAAACCCTTATTTTGAATGCTCATGGTTTTTATTAGTCAAACATACTGCATGAAATTTTGAAGAGTCTCAAAAGTGAACAGAATCTGTGAAAATATTTGCTTGTCCCACTCTGTGATGGTCAATTCTGTTGTGCTCCTTCTGCTAAGCAATTCTGCCAACCATTCCAGCTGGGAGCATGGTCCTCAGCCCATCCTGCTTTACCTGAGCAGGGGACTTTGCAGTGTTAACTCCAAGCTCATAGCCCTGAGTTCTTGTCTGAGCATTATAAAGCTTTTCTTTTTGTCTGTTTTATGCAAGTTTTAAATTAGAACATGGTTGTTAGGTAATTTTTCTACACATCATTCCCTATAACTGGGTACAACAATTGTACTCCCAGTAGTTGTTCGGTATTTAAACTACTCCAGACTGCAACAGGAGATTTCCAGTGTAGGTTAAAACGTTTTTGTAATTTAAATTTTGATTTCTGAACATCAGTGTGGGAGTTGTGACTGTCTATAGGTTGCAGCTACAGCAGGATGGGCACATGATGTATGTTTATATACATGCAAACATGGACTGGTTTGGGTTGGAAGAGACCTTAAAGACCATCTAGTTCTACCCACCCCTGCTTTGGGCAGGGATGCCCACTATTCCCAGGTTGCTCCAAGTCCCATCCAATCTGGCCTTGAACACCTCCAGGGATGGGGCAGCCACAGCTGCTCTGGGCAACCTGTGCCAGGGCCTGCCCACCCTCATAGGAAAGAATTTCTTCCAATCTGAATCACCCCTTTTGCAATTTAAAGCCATTCCCCTTTGTCCTGTCCCTCCAGGCCCTCATCCCAGCTCCCTCTCCAGCTCTCCTGGAGCTCCTTCAGGCACTGGAAGATGCTCTTAAGTTCTCCTCAGAGCCTTCTCTTCTCCAGGCTGAGCATCCCCAACTCTCTCAGCCTGTCTCCAGAGCAGACGTGTAATTGCTGTTGTTTAGACATTGGTGTAAATCTAAGTCCACAATATTTCCTTAAAGTTGGGGTCATTTAGCTCAAGAAGTGACCTTTGTGTGTGAGCCTGCTTCTGTTCCTCTTTGATCTTGACACAGCTGGAGTCTCTGTTACAGTCACCCCATTCCCAAGGTACTGATGGTTTCCCCTTTCACACTCCCCCTCCTCACACCTCACTTGCTTTCCAGGTGACACAATACCAGCTCTCCTTTTCTCTCCTGTTTCCTGCAGTGAGGCTGTCTGGGAGAACATGGCTCGCATGTGTGTGAAGACTCAGAGGCTCGATGTTGCCAAAGTTTGCCTGGGGCACATGGGCCATGCCAGAGGAGCCAAGGCACTGCGGGAGGCTGAGCAAGAGCCAGAGCAGAAGGCCAGGGTGGCTGTGCTGGCCATCCAGCTGGGCATGCTGGTAAATCCCACAGCCAAGCTGTGAATGGTTTCTATCAGACTCTGAAAAATCACTCCGTGAAAGAAACTGCTGACTAAAGCAAACATATTTTACAGATTGTTTTATGTGTGAAACATTTAACAAAAATCTGCTTTCTTGGGGCATAAGCCTCTTCCAAGCTAGGTTTCACTGGATTTAAAAAAGGCTGTATTTTATTATAGTTAAAATGTTTCAACAAACATGTTTTAAGCTCTGATATGGAGCTCTGATATTTAACTTCTGGTATGGAACGCAAGTTCCAATTTGAACTTATTTGTTTCTAGAGTGAAAGGCTAGAGCTGTATGGTGTCACAGAGTGAGGGCTGACCTGAGGTTGTTGAAGGAGTTTAGGGAAAATAGACTTTTCCTGTAGGGCTGGAGAGCTCTGGTCAGTCACATTCATGTCCCAGGGATGCCCAGTCACCCAGATTTCTATCCTGACTTCTCCCACCATGTGAGCAGGAACTTGGCTGGATCCAGCTCAGACAGAGGACAAGATCTGGCGGTTCCACCATCTGGAGCCCAACCTGGCAGCAGATACACCCCAAAGTGGACCTTGTGTCTCATGTCTGTCTTCATTCCCCTTGACTGCCAATAGAACTGAGATCTAAGCTGAATTTGAGACCAGCATTGTCATATGGATTGAAAATTGACTGGTGTTGGTTAGAGAGGAATTAGTATTCGACTAATTTAATACCTTTAGCAACGATCCATAAGAAAGCCAGAAATTTTTCATTTGGGAACCGTAAGAGATCCAGACATATGATCTGTTAGAGGGAAAAACTGGAAAAGAATTTATGAAATAACCCACAGTCTATAGGAAATACTGAATTAGATTAAAAAAAAGCAAGGTGCTATGACAGCAAAAATCAGTTTGGGGCCATGTTTGAGGAGATGCCAAATCCTGGGGCCTGGATTTGGTAACTCCTATCTGTGTATTCAGGGCAGCTACAGCTGGAATGATGACCTCCAGCCTTTAAGTATCTCATTACAGAAAAAATAGTTGATGAACTGGAAAAGCTTCAGACAAAACCAATGCAAATTTCTCAGCTCTTAGAAAGATTTCACAGAAAAGGAAGTCTTGAAAATGGTCAAATAATTAAAATTTGGCTTGAAAAGGTATTTAGTAATCTATAGTTACTTGATGAGTATGAGAGAGAGAAAGAGACAGAGTAACTATTCTGAGTTAAAGGTAAGGAAAAAAGGAAAATTTAAACTAAATGTTTGTAAAGGCTTCCTGGCAGAGAAAACTATGAGGCTGAAAAGTGTCAGCACTGCTTCTCTTGGATATTTAGATCTGTTTGGAAAGGTGGAAGGGAACTGCAGCAAAACAAATACAGCTCTACTGCCTTTTTCCATCTTGTACAGAGTCTTAGGGCAGGCATCTTCCTTTTCCACTTTCTGTGCTTTTTAAAATTTGAAACAATAAGAGACAAAAAGCATTTTTCTGTCTTGGACAGATAATCTTAATTTACTAAATATAGTGTTCAGCTGGACAGCAGTTGGGTGGAGCAGGAAAGTGCTCCTTCCACAGGAGTTAGAACCTCTCAGAGAATAAAAATAATAGTTCCAAATTTGCCCGCCCTTGCGTCAGCACCGGCAAAACCCTCCTGTTCTAATTCTGCAATAAATTACCAACATTTATTCCCAGGAATGGAGCTCAGTTGTCCACAAACAGTATTGCTACCTCTGAGATCTGCTGGGAGGCCACAGGGGTTCCCTGGCTTGCAACACCTTAATTCTCAAACCCTGAGTGCCAGGATCCTCTCCTGAGCCCTACTCCTGGGTGGGCAGCATGATTGGTAGCTGTACCTCCACCTAAGCATGTCTCCATTTTTGGTGATTCACACTCCTGATGACAGTATTTGATCATTGATGACTTGCTTGTGTCACTCCCCTCCCTCTCAGGCAATCCTGTACAATAAATGTCAGGATCTGAATGCTTTCCTTATTTTTACATGACCATCCTGTTTCCCAATAACATGCTATCCTAGGCCATGTATATTTAGTTGGTTAAACCCTCTGACCGATGGATTTTTGCTTTAATTGCATTGCAATGCCCTGCACTACTAAACTGCTCCGAGAAGTGTGACTGACACGCAGTGTGGTGGGGACTGACAGAATTTGGGTGTTCCTCTCCCCCAGGAGGACGCAGAGCAGCTGTACAAGGATTGCAGACGCTATGACCTCTTGAACAAGTTCTACCAGGCCTCCAACCAGTGGCAGAAAGCCATCGAGACGGCCGAGGCTCACGACCGGGTTCACCTGCGCACCACCCACTACAACTACGCCAAGCACCTGGAGGCAACCGGGCAGCAGAGCCTGGCACTCACCCAGTAAGCAGCAGCTGGGTGTAAGCTGGGGGGCTGGGAGTCTCTTTCTCCTGTGAAGATGGGTGAAAGAGGATGTTTGATCATGACCAGTAAAAATTAATTAAAGTCTTTTCCTGTTTCTGGTGCCTTCTATCTCATAGAGTGAAAGCATTCCAGTGAAACCTCCCAGCACCCTCCCATGCAAATAATGACTAGTGTCTTAAAAAGTCAAGAGTCTGTCTGGGCCAGCAGTGAAAACCCACTCATATCCAGTCCTATGTTTGTCTCTGGAAGATCACTGCCATCTTTTCCTTCCTTTTCCATGAAAAAAAACAATTATTTGCTTTTCCCGAGAGTCCCAGACACAAATGCTGGAGCAGAATTGAGTTTGTTTTGGTTGCTTCTGGTGGCTGATCCTCTCCTGTGACTGCCAAGTCCCATGACAAGTTAGGGGAGGGTGTTTTTGATGTCTTGTATTTCTTGTTTGAGATCTTGTTTTTATATGAGTTTTCCAATATGAAAAGTTCCCATCATCATCATCATCATCCAATAAGGTCAATTCTGTTCAGAATCACAGCAGAACTCTGCTGTGCTCAGGCAGACCCACTGCTGGCCATGATGGGGGTGCTGGGGAAGGGCAGTGACCTCTCAGCAGCAGCAGTGGGTACAATGTGGAGCCTGGGCCATTTGTGACCTGTCCAGACAGGTGTGCTTGATGCTTGGGGAACTTTCTGGAATACTTCTTTGGGCCATCACTGGCACTTTTAAAGTATGTTGTGTGCTGTGAAGATCACACCTCCCTGATTCCAAGTGCCTGGCAGTACCACTGAACTTTTAATTTTTGATGGTGCTGGTGGACTGCAACTGGTCGTACAGTGAACTTATACAGCTGAAGCAGTTGTTGCCAGTGTTGCCTGTTGTTTGGCTGGCAAACAAGATCAAATAGATTAATAGAGAGCTAATAAGGAGGCTGTCATCTCACATCTAATATGTTCTTCTCTACAGCTATGAAAAGTCAGACACACACAGGTTTGAGGTACCTCGAATGCTCTCTGAAGACTTACAAGCACTGGAGAACTACATCAACAAGATGAAAGACAAGTCAGTGCTATGCTTGTTCCTTCTACACGGGCTGTCAGGTCTGACATACAATTTGTGATGACTGCAAGGATGACAGAGTGTGAATCTTCTCAGTCTCATTCAACCCCTGCCTTATCCACTATGACCCTCCAACAGCTTTTCAGGTTTATGCTGCACTTGCATAGTAACTGCCACATTGTTATCCAGGCTGACTTCTGGTACAGGGCAGATCTTGGGAGTGTCACACTTGGGTAGGGGTAAACCACGAACACACTAAGTGTGTTAAGTCTTTAGTTCAAGCTCTCTAGCAGTGACAAACAGCATCTGTCAGTTCTCATTGCTGCAGTTAATATTGTTGCTTTTCCAGGAGCCTGTGGAAGTGGTGGGCACAGTACTTGGAGAGCCAGTCAGACATGGAGTCCGCATTAAAATACTATGCACTGGCTCAGGATTATTTTTCCCTAGTCCGCGTTCACTGCTTTCAAGGCAACATTGAGAAGGTAAGGCAGCCTGCTTCCACCTGCTTCCAGAGTTCTCAGTCCTGGGAGGAGCATGGACATGAAGTGAAGCTGTACAATTCCCTCTGCAGGCTGCTGAAATAGCCAATGAAACGGGGAATGGGGCAGCCTCCTATCACCTGGCACGCCAGTACGAGAGTCAGGAGGACATCAAGCAGGCCGTGCACTTCTACAGCCGGGCCCAGGCGTTCAACAACGCCATCCGCTTGTGCAAGGTACGCCCAGAGGCGCCGTGTGCCCGCACCAGCACAGCCCTCTGCCCTCTGGGAGTACAGGGTGTTTGTGCATGTTGTGTCCCATGACACACTGCCTGCTCTTGAACAGCCCATGATGAAGCTGCTCCTGGTTTCTGCTGACCTCTTCCACTAAAGGCGGATCAATAAAGCCTTGGTGGTTTGGAAATGTATCTTCTTAAACAGCTCATCCGAAAATCCCTGAAAGAAATAATCATAATCAAAGCTGAAGATCACTTGGGTTGCAGAGGTTTTACACAGAAGGGGGTGAGAGTTTGGTACTATGGGACAGCATAAAGATACAGGCTTGTCAGAAATTGGAATGACGAAATTTTTGTGCGCACACTCAGAGCCAAACCTTTGCTTCTGAACAGGCGAATAATTTAAATGATCAGCTGATGAACCTGGCTCTCCTGAGCTCACCAGAAGATATGATAGAGGCAGCCTGCTATTATGAGGAAAAGGGGGATCAAATGGACAGAGCTGTTATGTTATACCACAAGGTAAATGTTTTTTAGTAAAAACTCCCAAACTTTACTCTGAAGCAGTTCCTTCAGCAGAGGAATTGTAAATCCACTGTGGTGCTTACTATGTCCTGCTTATTTGTAATTTTTTCATGGTGAGTAATGCTTTATTAAGCCAGGGTGTCCTGTGAACTGGCTCTGGAGCGCTCATTCTAGTCGTTGAAGCCTCATTCCTAATTTTGCAGGCAGGACACTTCTCCAAAGCCCTGGAGCTGGCCTTCGCCACACAGCAGTTCGGGGCCCTGCAGCTCATTGCTGAGGACCTGGATGAGAAATCCGACCCAGTCCTGCTCGCCCGCTGCTCCGGCTTCTTCATTGAACATGCTCAGTATGAGAAGGCAATGGAGCTGCTGCTCACAGCCAAGAAGGTGAGCTGAGCCCTCTGGTCCCTCTGCACAGGTAGAGGAGCACAGCAGGTGTGTACCTGCACACAGCCATTCACCTGTGCAGATAAACAGATACAAGAGACACTTGAAGTTTCAAGATTCCTCCTAAGCCAGTGATTCAGAGGCACTGGCAGCTCAGCCTTGCCAAAATGCTGGGCACCAGACCATTCTGTGCTCCCTCCTCTTTAACAAGCTCCTATGGCTGGCTTTCTTCTACACTTTGCAAGGGTAACATAGCCCTTTTCTGGACTACAAGCTTTTGTATAGCGTACTCAGAATTTGTTCCTATATGGGAAGTACCAAAATATTTAACAAAATCTTTCAATTTATTTGTATTTGCTGGAAATGTTACTATTGATCGTGCCTAACAAACCTGACTTGTACGTCTCTGAAAACCTCATGTTCAGAGTCAAAATGGCTGAATCTTTAATGGCACACTTGTGTGAGAGCAGTGTTGTCATGGAAGAACAAACATGTTCTTCTTAGCAAACAAATGGGACAGTGTGTGCCTGAACAGGGGCTGATGTTGACGTGCAACTGCAGCCCAGTTCCAGACAGAGCATCCTCAGATTCTTGTGTTTCTAGCGGATTTCTGTAGGTTACTCCACAAGCAAATGTGAGGTATCATGGCAGTGTTTACAACATCTCATTATTCTCTTGCTGCCATCAGTACCACGAAGCTCTGCAGCTCTGCCTGGAGCAGAACCTAACCATCACCGAGGAGCTGGCTGAGAAGATGACAGTCTCCAAGGAATCCCAGGATCTCTCTGAGGAGTCCCGGAGAGAGCTGCTGGAGCAAATTGCTGACTGCTGCATGAGACAAGGCAACTACCACATTGCCACCAAGAAATACACACAAGCAGGAAACAAGTTAAAGGTCAGCCTGGAGAGCCTCAAAACGAGGGTGTTTTGAAAAGTAAACCTTGAAGCAGACTTCCTACAGTAGCTACCCAGATGAAACTTCTGAGCCATCTTCATGGTGTTTTTGCATTCACAGTATTTTCCCTCTCTCCCTCTGTGCCACTCTTTCCCTTGCCAGGCTATGAGGGCATTACTGAAATCTGGAGATACTGAGAAAATTATCTTCTTTGCGGGAGTTTCCAGACAGAGAGAAATTTATATCATGGCAGCCAACTACCTGCAGTCACTGGATTGGCGCAAGGACGCAAAGATTATTGCGAATATCATCAGCTTCTACACCAAAGGAGGGGCCCTTGACCTCCTGGCAGGTTTCTATGATGCATGTGCTCAGGTACTGCCCTTTCTGTGACTGCTGAAGGTGTTTGGTTTATTGGCTCTGGAGCGAGACCATCTACTCTCTCCTCTTGCAGGTAGAAATCGATGAGTATCAGAACTATGAAAAAGCGCACAGAGCACTGGCAGAAGCATACAAGTGCCTTTCCAAAGCAAAGGTCAGAAGCCCTGTGGAACAAGAAAGCAAACTTGGTCAACTGCAGAGCAGGATGAGTCTGATGAAGCGGTTCATCCATGCTCAGAGGTGAGCTGCAGCATGGATAGTACAGAAACTAAGTGACAGAAATATCATACCAGAATAGAAGTTGTAACAGCACCTGAAGTTTAATAAGTAATTTGCAGCTTGCTGCAAAAAAAAAAAAAAAAAATGCTGCTGATACATTTTTCTAGGAGGGAAATCAAAACAAAATGTGACTTTTAAAAGTGCATTTAAAATGTTGCATTAAATATGGAAAGGTAACCTGAAAGAGAAGGATATAGACCAAGGGAGGTGTAGCCAGAAAGGTGATTATCATAAAATCACTGACTGGTTTGGGTGGGAAGGGACTTTAAAGACTATCTTGTTCCAAAAGTCTGCCATAGGCAGGAACACCTTCCACTACCCCATGTTCTTCTAAGCCACATCCAACCTGGCCTTGGGCACTGCCAGGGATCCAGGGGCAGCCACAGCTGCTCTGGGCACCCTGTGCCAGGGCCTGCCCACCCTCCCAGGGAACAATTCCTTCCCAATATCCCATCTAACCATGTCCTCTGCAAGTGGGAAGCCATTCCCTGTGTCCTGTCCCTCAGGGCCCTTGTCCCCAGTCCCTCTCCAGCTATCCGGGAGCCCCTTTAAGCCCTGAGGTCTCCCTGGAGCCTTCTTTCCAGATCAACACCCCCAGCTCTCCCAGCCTGGGTCCAGAGGGGCTCCAGCCCTTGGAACACCTTCATGGCCTCCTCTGGACTTGCTCCAGGGCTGGAGGGAACTCTGCAGGTGGGGGTCTCATCAGAGCAGGGCAGGCACCCCTTGCTGCCCACCCTGGCCAATCAGCCCCAGGAGAAGGGGCATTTCTGGGTTTTGTTTTGGCTTCTGTCATGAAAACTTAGGCAGTAAAAACTCTTCCCTGTCCTTGTCTGGATAAGCTGAATGCTCTCCTTGGGCTGTGACACTTCCTTTTCCCCTTTCCTAGAGTTTACCCTGAAGACCCTGAAGAAGCAGTCAGGCAGTGTGAGCTGCTCCTGGCTGAACAGGACTTTGACAGTGCCGTCCGGCATGGCGACGTCCTGGGATTTTTGGTTCAGCATTATGCACAAGTGGAGGAATTCCATACAGTAAGTAAAGTCTTAATTCTTCTAACCTACAGAAGCCATATTGTCCACTGGTACAGCTTGGTGGAGCGTGGCTCTCACACAGGAAGATGTTCCATGGTAGGAGCCTAAATGTGCAGCAGGGTGAGGCACAGCTCAGGAACTTTACCTCTATTTTTCATTCTATGTGAGAAAAGGAAAGCTCACAGGACACAGAGGGTAAATGGTGGCAGAATCTTAACTATTCCCAGTAATTCAGTGAGAACAGAGGGTAAGTCTTGGTGCATGCCTCAGCAATGCCACCACACTGTGTTTGCTACCTGGCCAGAGAAAAAAACTGTAAAAAGGCAGTTATTTGAGGGAACAGTGAATTGCTGCTACATGGCAGATGTGCCAGACACCCCTGAACAGGTCCAGTGCTCTGATGAAACATGAGGGGTCAAGTGCAAGTTCTCCATGTGTACTGATGAACATCACTTTGAATGTGCAAAGTACAAGAAATGGTTACTGGGGCCCCTGTAGCAGTGCTCCCTGTGACAGTGATCTCTGCATTCCTTTAGGCTTATCGCTACCTGGAAGAGATGCAGAGAAGAATTCCAGCCTCAAACCTGAGCTACTATGTGTCCCCACAGACCATGGAGGCTGTGCACCGAGGAGCTGGTGTTCCCATGAGCCAAGCCCAGGCCACAGCACACTCTGGCCATGGCAGCATGGACAACAGGGAGGAGGAAGAAGTGGCTGATGAAGTGGAGGAGCCCTGACAATGAACATTTACCAAATGCAAAGCTGACTTTATTATCAGCTCATTTATTCCATCCTCATTAGGGGGGCCCAGATCAATCACATGCTGTTGCCACACAGCTTTTTGGTTATTACCAAGAAATTTCTTTTTCCTGCTTGACTGTATAAGCAACAGTATTAGAGTTAATATGTTCTCTCAAGCACAATATACGGCAATTCACATGTATATTCTATAAGAAAGCTGGTTTTAGTATTTTAATAAATTTGAGGCAGAAAAATCCAGTAAGAACTGCATATTGTAACTTCACTTTTTCTCAGTACAGAAGAGCTGAATAACTGAGATGGAAACTGTGAGTTGCCTTTCAAGTACAGCTGTGATCTGCTAAGGTGCAGATCTGTGATTCCTTAGAAGTGAGACCTTCTGAAACAATCCCCACTCCATTTGGGTAGGAGCTTGGTTAAAATCAAACTACCCTCTCCTGCAGGCTGAAGGCAGAGTTTCCCCAACAAAAGCTTCTCTGTCAAATACATCAGAGGGTCATGTGGGCTGGAGCAACTCCTTACAGACATCTGGGGTAAACCTCAGAGTCACAGAATGCCTGGGTTGGAAGGGATCTTGGATGCCCCCTAGTCCAATCTCTGCTCAAGCTTGCTTTCTTTCTTGCTTTGAAGCTCCATCTCTTGCAGTTACATCAAGCCACTCTGTACTAGTCAGATTTTTGGAGGTCAGTTTCTTCCCTGGCACAAGCACGACTGAGAGAAGTGAAGCTCAACATTAGAACCACGGTTCTGCTCACCCCTCTGCCTGTCACCATGCTCTGCCAAGGAGTAGTTACGGTCACTCACATTTCTTACCAACTAGCCCTTACACTTAGAATGGTTTTTCTTTTTCATGTTTTGTGACTTGCTTCCAAACTTGGGGTGAACATGAAGTTTCTAAATTGCTTTCAGGGAAGAAGGTTTGGGGAGATTTTAAAGTCAAAATCTGAACATTATTTATTCTTTAGTAGAAACATTATTTATTCTTTAGTAGAAACCTCTGTACTAAGACTATACAAAAAGAATTCCCTGTCTTATTCCTTCCTAGCCACAGCCCAGCTCTAGCTCAGGCTGTTGAAGTCTGGCATACTTTCAGCACTTCAGTGTAGTTCTCCATTGCTTGCATCCCATCAGCAGTGCCGTATCTTCCACTCCTTCCAGCAGCAGACCAAGAGCTGGCCCCCCAAACTCCAGCTGCTCAGGGACGTAAGGGGCAGGCCATAGTGGCAAGTGGCCCTTGCCAGGCCTCCTGTTTTTTTGACAAGAAGGCTCTGTGAGATCTTCCCTGTATTTTTAGCTGAGTGCTCAGAGCTGCCAGGGTTATAAATAGCTGGGGTGGGGGCTGGGGGCGCGGGACGATGGCAGCACTCGCCACCTTCCTGCATCTGTACACGCTGTACCGGATACCCAGAGCTCACTCAATTGGCCTCCACTACAAAGTCCAGATGTCAAGTCAGGCTCGCTGGCTTACAGCTCAGCACCCTTCCCCCTTCTTCCTCTCCTCCAGCCAGGTGACTGCTGAAGAGGCCCCAGCAGTGCCCAAATACATCCAGCTGGCAAGAGCACAAGGAAAAGGTCATTTCTGTTACCCTTCAGCTAGGAAGGAACAGCTTCAAGTTTCTTTTTCAGGTTCTCCATTAGCAGCAAGTTTTGCAGGGCCAGCCTTCTGCAGTCCCCATCGGGGTCTTTCTCCATCACATCTGCAAAAGAAGCAGCCACTATTAATTGGAGAATGGGGAAAAGTGCCCTTAACAGTTCTCACTATTTTACTGACAATCACAGAACTAAACAACAGCATTTGCACCTATGGCTGGGCTTGGACATCAGGACTTGCAGGAACTGCATTAGAAGGCAGAGATGTACAAACTTGATCATGTAAAGCAGCGTGAGTTCAGCCAAGCCCTGTGGCAGTGCTCCAGTTTTGAGGGAGAAACAGTCAGTTGGTCTGAAACATTGTAGAAACTGTCTGACCTTGGATCCCATGGGATAATCTCCATGCCAGAACTTGTACTTGTCACTTTGAGCTATACAAAAGCTTTGTGTAGCTGAGCTACAAGTGTGAATGAAGTCTGCAGCTAGAAATCCACTTCTCCAAAGTCTAAAGTCTCCACTCTGCCATTCTTGCACTCTAAAATGGTCAGTGCTCTGTTCTGAATTTGGGGTCAGGATGCCAACAGGGAGAGAAGGCCCCAAGGTTCAGCATATTCTCCACTCTGAAAGACCAATCTTCTGATCAATGGGTTGCACACTTCCCACAGCACATAAGGGCAGCGTGAGGCTGTTCCCAGCAGCTGTTATTCCAGGGGCCCTTCATGGGCCTGCAAAGTAACAACCAGGATGCATGCAGGATGTCTGAGCAGGGGAGCCTGGAAGAGCAGGGAGCCTGTGTGAGGATATCCTGTACGCACGAGCCGTGTGCTGGGAGCCCGGCACTGTCAGCCCAAACACATGACTCATGTCACTGGAGCACAGCTATTTATAACCCAGGGAGAGCTGCACTCTGGTGCTTCCATACTCCCTCTGCACAAAAGGAAGGTTACAAGGCAGATTGGAACAAGCTCAAAAGCTTAGAGTGCTGCTGGTGCTGTATCTGTTCCACGAGCATGGACCTGGCACAGCTGGCACTGCATGGGAGGCACAAGGTATCTGAGTGTTCTGTTGGTCCTGACATAAACCTCACTTACCCATGACACAGATGCAGAGCACTTGCAAGGGGTGGGGAATTCCCTCAAAGGCAGCTGCTGAGGAATCAAAGGGATCCTCAGGGAATGTCCTTTCCTAGAAGCATTTAGGTATTCCCTTCCTCCCCCAGGAAGGATCAGGCTCATCAACAGCAAGTCCAGCATGGCAGCTAAGGGTAATGATGGACAAGTCCCAAGTGGATTCTAGTCTCTCTCCATAGCTGATATGTCCCAAAGCATCCAGTGCAGACAGTGCCAGGGCTGCAGGCAACAGGCTGAAGGGCCAACAGTCACAGGACACACTACAGCAGTTTGCAGAGGCCCGGATGTAACAACCAACTGAAAGAAGTCTGTGGATTTCTACTAAGCACATTTCCTATCTCACTGTTCATCACTGTGCTTTGGCCATGAGAGAAACACGTGGGAGAAACAAAGATACTTTAAGCTAAAACCAAAGGGGATAACAGGCATAGCAGCCGAGGCTCCCACACAGGACACTTGTCATTTCCAGCTACAACACAGCTAATACATGACCTCCTCTTGGAAATCTTGTCTGGAAGAGTCATGAAGCAACAGCCAAGTCCATGAGCTCAGACCTGTGATTCAGTCACAGAAGCAGGTCTCTAGTGCCAGACTTGACCTGTTGGAGCAGCAGGGAGGGCCCAGTACCTCCCTGTGAACTGTTTCCCCAACAGCCTTACAATAAATAGCAAAGGCCCAGCCCAAGGAGCTGGTGTATTTCAGAAAGCAGCTCTAGAAGCCCTTTAAACTGCACTTAAATTGCACCTGACCATATGTGAAGCTGAATTCTTTAAGGCTTCTGAACAACTCCTACAGCAGTTTTCCTTTCTCTGGTATACCCACCACAGTTATCTTACTCTGCTCTCATTCCCACCAGGAATAACCATGCAGCTTTCATGCCAAAGCATTAGATGAAAAGACAGGGCTATTACACTACCCATAAGCATGAGAAGATGCTACTATCTTGGTCATCCTCCTCCTGTCCAAAATAACTCACAGAAAATGGATTATGCAAACCCTCAGGCTGGAAATCCATTCCTGAAAGGCTTCACTTGGTAACAGCAGTGTTAAATGCAGAGATCAGCAGATTCCTGAGAGCACACAGTGTCATGGGAAAAGTGAAGTCTTCAGCCCCACATGGCAGCTCTCTTCCGTTCAAAGGGCACAGAGCACCCCAACCTGCCAGGATCAGAGGCCAGCTGGGTCAGTTTGCTTCCTGCTTGCTCCCTCTGGGAAGCAACTCACCGAAAGTGAGAATGGTGAAGGAAACCAGACCAGGGAATAACAAGAATCACCCTCACAACACAGTGAAGGCTTCAACATCAGTTGTTCTTTTCACTCCAGCTCTCTGCAGTACCTAAGCACTGATCTGTGCAGCTCCAGCCTGCCAGAACCCACAGGCACAGTCTGTGTTGATGTAAGGTGTGCTGGGTACAGCTTTTAAAGTAATGTGCTGTCTTCTGTAGCTTTTTCTTTCCATCAACAATAGGAAACTGGATACTAGGCCATGCTCCTCTCCCTCCTGTTTTTAGCTCTAACACCCCATCATGAGCACACGGTGCAAACAGGCTGTAGAAGCTTTGTGTGTTCCTGCTGGCCAAAGTCACTGCCTGGGGGTAACAGGCACCGTGACAACACTTCCTGCAGCTTCATGAGGTGGGTGGCTGTCTGCTCAGATGGAGAAAGGGGGCACAGACTATCTTGGGATTTTTCTGGGTGGCCTGCGAAGACAGTCACAGTTTGTAATGCCATACCCAGTTCTTGGCTTATGCCTCAGGTACCCCAGCGCTGCATCTCTACAGCACACATGTGCTCTACTTGCTGATCATGCAGATCTCTGATGCACAATGCCAGGACATCACTGCTGCCATCACAATTAGAGATGCTGCACAAAGACCCCACTAACCAGCAAAGCACTGCTGTACCCCACCAGGTCCTACCTCCCAGCCAGGACTGAGTCTCCAACAGCTCTTCTGTCATGTCTGCCAGAATCCGTTCCGTAGGGACACTGAGGAGCAGGGAGGAGATACAGGACAAAAGGCCCCGGCGCACATACCTGTGGACAAGGACTGAACTGGTACTGCAGCTTTATGCTCTGCACTGACTTCTTCCCCTCAGGGGCTCTCCAGTCTCAAATGGCATGGCAACTTTTGCCATATTCCTGCTGCTTAGGGGTGTAATCTTGCAGTGTGTCTCACACACAGAGCCCCTGCTGTGCTGTGCACAGGAGCCTAGCACAATTCAGAGCCCTGGACACATTTGAGAGCAGAACAGATATTGGATGTTTACAGACTTTTGGCTACAGGTCTTAATTGCTCTCCAAGACTGAATGCTGGAATTGAATCTAGAGTTTTCTGAGCTCCCTGAGTAAACACAGATGAAATTATCACATGGACAGGTAGTCAGGAAATTTATCAACCTTTATATAGGTAATGGCTGTACTGCCACACCAGAACACACCAGCAAAGTTCATATGTTGGGCTGACATTAAACACAGTCATAAGAACACACAGCTGGAGGAGAGCACAAAGTAAATGCATT